TCGACGAGTTGAGTTGAGTTGAGTTGAGTTGAGTTGAGTTCCGTGTCGACCTGAGCCTGCCTTAAGAGATAAGGTTATATCAACACATTGCTGATATTGATCGTGGTAAGCAACTGCTCACGTCGAATTCAGTAAAGTTGGTAAAAAATTCCCTTCCCTTAGCGGCGTGGCGCCTTCACTGAGTGTATGTCTAAACAGGTTTACATAAAGGTTTCTTAGAAAACACAATAATTAGAAATATTCTTCTTTTTTTTTAACTTTTCGGCTTTTAAAACTATTATTGCCTAAATGTTCAACTGTATGCGAGCACAGAGCTAAAATAACCATTTTAAAATGTATAGGTCCATGATACGATTAATTGCATATGAGGCATATCTCTTACATACATGTTCCTTTGACGAATGGTGCATGTTACGATTCGTTCATAACACAAGAACAAACACTCCTATACGACTTGACATGTGGGTAGCGGGTATTCTGCAATTGAACCCAATAGGCCCTGTTCGTATAGAATCACTATTGTCATGAAAATGACATACGTGGCTAACGACCATAAACCTAGTTTTCTGTCGAGTACCCAGTCTTTCAACCAGAGAGCTACTACTATAACGATGACAGTAGTAAAGAGGCCAGCAGACATAAGAATAAGGCTGTTACTGCTGATTTCGATCGGTTCCCAATTGCTGTTGGTTGCTATTCGTACAAACCACAGAAATCCTAGACAGACTAGCACCTCAAAGATATTACTACCAATAATATTTGCAACGGCCATATCACCATATCCTATGGGACAAAATATTTTTTGTTTTAATAATGTTGTACCGTAGACATTTCTGCAGAAATTATTTAATAAATTTTTAAGTGTTTGTATTGATGCGAAAAGGTTTTTTTTTAAATTATATAGGCCTATTTGCCTAGCTCCGACTTATGACCATTCGACTGGAAGCCGAAGGTTTATCTCTGCACCTCACATTACAGGCCTATTCTTTTGAAATGCGTGTGAATTAGAATCGATTTTTTTTTCAATCAGAAAACTTACCATCCCTTGCAACATATATAGATCCAAATAGGTCAGGTAGACTGGTGCCAAAAGCCAGAAAGGTAAATCCCATCACGTTGTCAGACAGATGTATTGTATAACCTGCAATTGTAAGTCATAATAACGTTATAATAACGTTACCGTTTGGTGTACAAAACGTTTATTTTACGTATTTATAACGTAATTTCACAACTAAATAACGTTGTGCTAACGTCATTTTTCTACATAGGTGTACCTAACCACAACATTATATTTACTCCTTTTAATCATAGCATATTTTTGCGTTTATACATGTTACATACCTTTTTTCTTGAATATTTAAACACGCATTATCCTCATTATAACTAATGTATACTTTCAAACTGCATTAATGTATATTAAAATCAATCGAGAATTACTTTTTACCTTCCTTATTTTTCTATCCAAAACCGTGTATTTTTTTCGATTGGACTTCGGTGTAAAAATCAAGGATAGCCCACGAAAGTCTAGAAGAAGACTAATTTCCAGTGGGGTCCTTCTGGTGGTGATTGGGCAGTACACCGGGAGACAATCCCCTACTCTTTTCCGAAGAGTGTATGGGCCATAAATGCACAAGGGACCAACGGCTTAAAAGTTTCATCCGAAAGACCGTGCGCTATTGTACCGTAACTTGTATCTCATCCCCTCCAGCTGAAACACAAGAAGAGGCAGCGATGGGAATTAACCGGGGACCTAGAGATCTACACGGTTCAGCGCACACACAGTGGCTACCACCAGATTAGACGACTGAGCTAAGCTGCTCTCTGTACTAATGTTTCATTAGTTCTCTGTTTAGAGAAATTTCTTTCAATTCGTCTATCACCAGTAGTGTAAGATCAGTATTAGTGCACGACCTGCATATTAAATGGTAGATAACGATATGTATATAAACAATCATGATAATGATGGGACAATCCACGACTCTTCATTCACTCTTCTTAAAATTGTGTTTTATCTCTCATGCTTACCTATGATAGTGATCATCCAAACCAAAATGTAAGATAAACCAGCCAGCCAAATGGTTGCCAAGCAAAACGTTGCCGCGTAAGTGTTCCGCCCGCAGCCCTTACGTCGGCAATCGGGAATGGTCAGAAAAAACATGATAATGGCCGGTAGTCCAAATATCCAGCTAACATACTTTGCCGGGTTCTCGGGAGCAGAGAATATGGATTCATTGTCTACAATAAACGAGAGCATGGTGTGGAACTGTAATTCACAGAACGAAGAACTTTAGCAGACATACATATAAAACATATAAAATGTTTC